GCGCCGTCCGTTCGTCGCCATTTGAATTTATTTCTACGAGGTTTATCTAAGGAAGGTATGTGGTATTTCTTTCTTCTCTAACCTGGTTGTCTCTCCTACAGCGTGGCCGCCGTGTCACATTATTTTCTTACATTTTCATGAAGATATTTCTCCGCAGTACGTCCGTCCGTTAGTCTGAGATGGCCACGGTCCGTCTGTTAGATCCCAGGTAGCCAGCGGATCTGGGCCGATTCTGGCTAAGTGTCGGCACACTCGGTTGAATTCCGGCATTGGCTCACCAACACTGAGCCAGATCTGGGCCAGTATAGGTTGCCAGATCTGGGCCAGTATAGGTTGCCAGATTTGGGCCAGTTTCGGTTGAGATATGGCATGTGGGCTGAAATTAAATCATAAAAAATGTGCAAGTAACCACACATGCACACACAGACACACAATAAAACGACATATACCATCTGGCTGTTGTAATTCAGTAAACTTGTAAGAAAAAAGTGCCTGTGACAGCCATATTATATTCTCAAACTTTAGTAGGTTAAACATAAAACTGAAAACTTGCTATAATCACAAAAGCCACTTGATTTAATACAACGGTGTTGAGTGAATCCATTCAGTTCCACCCTTGGTGGTCATGTGACCTAGCTTGTCTGAGTTTCCATAGGACAGGCATTGCACTTGCTTAGTAGCTCACGTCTTTTGCTGAAGCAGACCGGACCGTTGGCGCAACCAGTTGAGCTCAGAGAGTACGAGGATTTCAGAAACGTTGGAACAAATATCTGAGTAAGTATGCTTTTCAAATGGACATTGTTAAGTTGGTGTTTAAAATAAAAAAAAGTGATATTGCTGGCGTTCGTGTGCAATGGTCGCATAAATATGGGCAATATCTGAGCACATGTTAGCTAACGTTTTCTAGCTAGCGAGTTCGCCAATTAACAGAATTGGCATTGTAGAAAAACATTACATTACTAAACAGGGGATCTCCCCCAGAAGCAGCATTATTAGACCGCCACACCGCTTTGAGTTTTGTGGCAATTTCATACGTTCATCTTACTTAGGCTGATGAGCGATTGGGCAAAGGAGTAAGGGTGTGGCGGGCAAAGGAGTAAGGGTGTGGCTGTGTGGCTGCAGTCATGGCCAGTATGAGTCACGATTTGTGGTAAAATGTACATTTTTTGTAACTGCATGAGTCAAATTGCACTTAGGTATCCTTCATAATGCTCAGCATTGTGGGGAGGGGGGCCGGTAGTCTTGAGTGCTTGTGTGCGCGAGCGCGGGTTAAGTTGTAGCTCCGCCATGGCCTCGTGTAAACCGAGGCGCATTAATATTATGTTGAAGCACAGTACGTATTACTCCGCGAGGTACCCATCACTATTTATATGATTGTAGTTATTTGTTTTAAAAAAAATTGATAGACGTTTTGTCTCCTTTACAATATTTTTCATCTAAATTATTATTTTTTTTTTTTCGGGTCCTTGAGATTCGGAGCCCTGAGATTCTACTCCACCACCTCAAATCATTTGCCCTGACGATGGAGCTCTACTCTGAATACAATAAATCATCAAATCTGCGGAGAAGGTCCAGGGTCACAGTAAAGACACGTCTTGCATCACTTTCCACAAATAGTCAAACCTCTGAAGATGACGTTGCTGACAAAAGCAATCAGCTTCTTGATGTGGAAGTTCCTTGTGCTGAAATTTCATATTGTGATGATGAAGCTGCAGGATGTGGTTATCAAAAAGTGCAAAGTGGTGATCACAGTGGTCATGATATAGAGACTTTTATGGAAAGTGAATGCACAGAAGAGGCTTATGCTGAGACAGTACATGATGATGAACTTGATAGTGATGATGACATTCTACAGCCAACTCTCACTACTAGCTTGATGAACTGGGCCACAGAGTATAGTATCAGTTTGGTTGCCCTGACTGCCCTGTTGTCAGTGTTGAGATGTCACCATCCATCTTTACCTAAAGATGCCAAGACACTCCTCCATACTAACAGAAATTACATAATCAACCAAGTTGCAGGAGGTGCATACTATTACTTTGGGATTGTCAGTTCTCTCACTCGTTTCCTGAACAATATTTGGGTAAAAATTCCTGATCGTCACACAGTCAGTCTACAACTAAATTTTGATGGGCTTCCATTGTTCAAGAGTTCAGGTTTCCAGTTATGGCCAGTTCTGGGGTTAGTGCAGGGATTTTCTGTAAAACAAAAGCCTTGTTTGATTGCCTTGTTTGGTGGCAAATCAAAGCCACATCCTGTGGGAGATTACTTAAAAGATCTTGTGGCAGAGCTAAAAATCTTAGCATCTGGCTTTACATTTAAAGGGAAAATATTGTTCATAAAAGTAACATCAATAATATGTGATGCTCCTGCCCGAGCTTACATTAAAGCCATAAAATCTCATACTGGGTATGCAGGCTGTGATAAATGTACATCATATGGGCTTCGTCTAGGTAGCCGGATGACTTTTCCTGACAGCCGAAGCCCTGCCAGAACAGATGAAAGTTTCAGACTTCAGGTGGATGAGGAACATCACAGAGACATTTCCCCACTTATTGAGACTGGCATTGGAATGGTTTCTATGTTTCCCCATGATTATATGCATCTTGTTTGCCTTGGGGTCACAAGGAAGCTCCTAGAACTATGGGCAGGCAGTACTGGTCCACTTAGGTGCCGTTTGCCTTTCAAGAAAGTAAATCAGCTGTCAGAAACACTGAGGTCTTTCAAAAGTCACATGCCCACTGAATTTGCCAGGAAGCCCAGATCTGTTGAAGAGAGACACAGATGGAAGGCAACTGAATATAGACAGTTTTTGTTGTATACTGGGCCAGTTGCGCTATTTGACATTCTTAGCTCACCAGTTTACAACAACTTTATGTTGCTTTATGTTGCAATATCAATACTGGCATGTCCAAAGCTCTGTGTGATATTTTGTGACTTTGCAAAGACCTTGCTTGTGTCTTTTGTGGAACACTTTGGACAGCTTTATGGCAAGGACAATTTAGTGTACAATGTGCATGGCCTTATACATCTCAGTGATGATGTAAAAAAGCATGGCCAGTGGTTGGACAACATCTCGGGGTTTCCATATGAAAACTACCTTGGTGAAATAAAGAAAATGATCCGCAGCCCCCAGTATCCAGTTGCACAAGTTGTGAGACGAATATCAGAGCTTGAAAATGTAGTTTGTAGATCAGACACACAAAATGAAACCAAACTCAGAAAACCACATTGTGATGGTCCACTGCCATTGCACATCACATGGCCAGTAATGCAGTACAAAGAAGTTAGTCTTCCACACTTTTGTGTCAAGGTATTCACAGGTGACAACTGCATATGTCATGATGGCGTAGTAGGTGTAGTCCAAAATATCATTGAGTTTGGCGGAGATCCATATTTGGTTTATAATGAGTTTACAAGTTGTGCAAGCTTTTTTGACTACCCAATAAATTCAGGTCAGTTGGGTGTGTTCCAACTCACTGACTTGTCCCAGGAACTAAAGTGTATCAAGATGAATGATGCAGTGACAAAGTATGTACTCCTCCCATTCAGGAACAAATTTGTGGGCATGCCATTTCTCCATTTGTCATAACAAATGAACTGGGGTTGTGTTGCAAGGTGAGCAACTGTTTACTGGGGCTGAGAATCATTTCTTATACCTATATACCTTTTGAAAATGTACTAAGATTTAGTGTGTCTATTCAGATTTTTTACATACTTCCTTATGTTTTTTTTGTTTGCACATTTGTATTTTTCTTTTCTGTATATAACATAACCTCAGTTTATCAGGGCAATAGAATGTTGGAGTGTATTTTCAAAAATAATCTGTTGCAGCAGTCCTAAATGTATGTATATGTGTAACGTATATATGTATTTGTGTTTTTTTTTAATTGAATTTTATGGCTTAATGTTTTAAATGATTTTGCATGCAATTCATATTATTCCTTTCAAAGATGATGTACCACATTGTTGATTTTGTGGACACGGGAGACACAGAAGTTGTTCCAGCCTCATGGGTTCATAATGGAAGAAGCTTCTGGCCTCCCTATAAAGCAAGGGAGCAATGCAACCGGGCCATAGCGAGAGCAGACCCTCCCAAGGAATTCTGGGAAAAGTATAACATCCGCATAAGGGCAACTAAAGGTATAATTTCATTCATTCATTCATTTTCTACCGCTTAATCCCTTGGTATAATTTCATTATCTGTTTAATGCCACACCAACAAACTACACTAGTAACTTTTAATGAACAGAAATGTGAAAATTAATTGAGAACTCTTTTTAAGATACATTTAGTGAGGCGCGACTTCTGCTCCCAAAGGCCCTGCTTACGTCAGATCTTCAAACCGAAGATGAAGAGGATCAACGTCCAGCATACAAGAGGCGGAAGAGAAGGTAAGATGGTCAAAAATGTGGTAGCAACAGGTGGTTTTGGAAAATTGATTTGAAATAATTTGTACATGGGTTGTTCCACAGTGTATTTACTGTAGTCTAGTGGAAACATCAGTGACTTTTGAGGGGAAAACGACTTGAATTTAGTTTACCAATGTAATCAATTTACTGCACAAGGTTCATGTTTTTTTTTGTGTTTTTGTTATATTCTGAAATATAATCAGTTTGTTTTGTACATTAGAGGCATGAACAGAATCTTTGAGTCAGAGAGTGACCAAGATGACAATGACGGCAGCAATGAGGCAACCCGAGGGAAACGCACCAGAGCTCCATTGGCCTTACCAACTGCTCCAACCATTGGTCCTCCAGCTGTCACCAGTAGTGAACAGCCCAGAGGAAACCACACCAGGGCTCAATTGGCCTTACCAGCTGCTCCAACCATTGTTCCTCCGGCTGTCATCACGCCAGCAATTTTGCCTCCAACTCCCTCCAGACCAGAACTTTCTCCTTCAAGTTTCCAAAATGCAGCAACCCCTCGTGTGCCCAGGGTAAACGACCAACTGATGTGTGAGCGTAAGTCTTTTGCAGTAGTTATTGGTCCCGTTTTGGTTGTACTGACGTATAGCTGTATGGATGGTCAGTTAGCTGTTGGATTGTAACAATCTGTTCAGATATCCATGGTGCAAACTGATTCTTCCCCTAATATGATGTATATCAGTTTGACCATTGTAGTTTTAAGTGAAATGCCTCAAGGCCAATTGGATAAATAACCTCACAATTTGTTACTGGCACTCACTGTGTTTTGTTGGTATTTTACAGCAATTCTACGGGAGATATTAACAACAATGGAGACCATTAAGCAGCAACAGCAGATTATTTTGCTACAGTTGCAAAATAATCTTCGAAAGCCTATAGAGGTGCCAGAGGTTACTGGAATTCCTCTGAAAACACTGGAAGAACTCCTGAACCTTGAGCAGTCCGTTGCTGCACAGGGGGAACACAAACAAAAACTGGTAGGTGTTGATATTGGACAGAAATACAATTTTTGACACTACACAGTATCTATAAGAACAAATCATACCTCTTCTGTCACTCTCCATGGAAATATGCCATCACTAAATGTCATCAACTGTCTTCTGTCTCATATAGTGACATAAGCCAGTGTTTTAATACAGAATAATTGAAGGAATTAAATGTGATTCTTTATTGTGTTTTTCAGGTCACCTACTTTGGTCTGGCAGGGGGCTTAACAATAAAGGAAACAGTTTGGCGAATAATGGCTAAACTGATGACGAACCAGCTGGCCAAGCAAATCAACTGGCGTGGAGTACATGGGAAATATGGTTTTGAGCAGCTTGTCCTAAAAGATGTTGTCCTCAGTAAGTTTTTTGTATTATAGGGTTTGCAGCAGCCAATGATGTAATTATTTTGTGTTTTTAATGTAATAAAGCCATTAAAGGTTTAATAACTCCTGCCGATAATGTAAAAATTTCCTAATATCTTAATTTCCTAATATTACCCAATCAAGTAATCAAAATGTCACACTTCGACATCTGCTATACAGTATTAGGAACAATTATGATTATGGGTTTGGTAATGTGTAATATCTACAGTATATTTGAGTCCATTTTTGTGTCTCCCTTAGAAATTAGGACCATTTATTTTTAACTTGATGGTTAATGATTTCTATCAGCTCTATCGATTCAGGTGTGGACACATGTTTGCATATTCAGTTACTCATGTAAAGTGTACATTTAAATCTAAATGTGAGTATTCTGAAATAATGACCACATTCTTACATGAAAAGTCATTTTCATTGAACTCCTTAATTGAAGCACACACCTTTTTTCAAAACCTGTTAAAATTATTCAAACTATTGAGGTAACTGGCAGTATTATGTCCATGTTTCAACATCTTGATACAAAACTGAACCCTAAAACAGATAGTCCCAAGACTCTACTGTACATCAAGTGACAGTGTTTTTTTCTTTTTCTTCCTTCTTAATATTGCAGAATCAGTGCGGCAAAATTCTGCAACTGCAAGCGCACCAGATGGAGAAATTGAAAAGTACATAAAAAGGTGGTTGCAGCTGGCATCGGACAGGGATGGAGGAAGAAGGGAACGGGCCATGAAACAAGCAAATTCTTAGTAGGGTACACTAAAGGTCCACTGGTCCACAAGGATGTTTTGGGCAGTGAGAGTTGTTCTTTTTTTGGATCTGTTTATTGATCTGTTCTGTTTTTGATCTTTTTTTTTATCATCAATGTAAAATACTGCTGCACATTTAGAATAAAGTTTTAATGTATTTGAGTCATGTAATTATTAATTTGAAAAACTAACATCTAGTTTTGAGGATAGGTGTGGGGTAAAGCAAGGGTAGGAACGGGCTGCCAAACCATCAGCGAGCAGTGCTAAACACCTAGTTCTTGTAAGGTTAACATATTTTATTTAATATTTATTAGTTATTTAATATTTTCAAGTGAAATTTTTATTTCATCCTGGGAAATTCCTAAAGCCAACATTAATCAAATGTAGTTTGCAAAATGGTATAGGTTCAGAGACTAACACAAGAAGGCTTTTTTCATATTCATCTGCTTAAAGCAAAGGGTTTTTCTCTCCATGACTTTAAGATGCATGTCTATGTGCAGGATTTATGACATCACTGGTTTGGAATACCATCATTGCCCAATCATTACTACAAGCTATCAGCTGCCTTACAGATGAACCAGATCTAGAAGTCACAGCCTGGTAATCGGTTGAGTTTCGGTATCCACCTCTGGGCCGATATAGGCCAAATCTACAAATGGTTGTGGGGCGATTGCGGCCCTATTCCGGCAGTGTCGGTTCAGCTTCGGCACCCGGATTTGGGCCAGTGTACTTGGGCC